ATCTTGAGGTTATGTTGCAATATTTATCTAATGCTTTATGTCGGCCAGTCATTAATAAAACTTTCATCTTGAGGTTATGTTGCAATATTTATCTAATGCTTTATGTCGGCCAGTCATTAATAAAACTTTCATCTTGAGGTTATGTTGCAATATTTATCTAATGCTTTATACCGGCCAGTCTTTAATAAAGCTTTCATTTTAAGGTTATGTTTTTTTAATATTTATCCAATACTTAATACCAGCCAGCCTCTAATAAATTTTTCGTCTTAAAGTTATGTTTTAATAGTTATCCAATACTTTATACCGGCCAGCCTTTAATAATTTTTTTCGTCTTAAAGTTATGTTTTAATAGTTATCCAATAATTTATACCGGCCAGCCTTTAATAAATTTTTCGTCTTAAAGTTATGTTGTAATACATTTATAATGGCCAACTGTGAGATACTTGCCTCTTAAGGATGTAAAATTTGCGCATGTCTGTTTCACCTGACGTTGTTTTACTGCATGATGTGCTAACTGTTTATTTGTGAAAATGTGCTTAATATAAACTGCATATATAGTTAATCGAAATGCTTATACAGTAACCGAAGTCAATGTGTAAGAGTTCTTCAAAAAAAGCTTTTCGACGTGGAATTAAATCCTTCTGATATACATATCGTCACTAATCCCTTTTCTGAAGTAAGTTAATTCTCTAAACTCACTTCAAGTTAATGTAGGTTCTTTTGTTATCTTAAGATAATAAAAATGCACGTATTGCTTGAATTATTGACGCAATGGGTTGAATAATAAATTAAAATGTTATATGTAATATCGCCAGAATATGTGTGGAAATAACATTTTGTGTCGTTTTATATAAAATGGAAAACTAAAAAATGAAAATGTGCCTTGTATAAATAAATGTAAAGAATACATTTACGGTTTGCTTAATATTCTCTACAGTCTACAGAAAAGATGATGAAAAATTATTCCTGATGCAAAATATTACATGAAATAGAAAAATTGGATTGAGCTCGAATTTTCTACACTGTTCATCAATCCGATTTCAAAAGGAATATGCTGTGTTTACTGCTTATATTTCTTTTAATTTATTTAATTCAAAATTCTTCACATTGTCAACATTTCTCCAGTTTTCGAAGGATCGTGATGCAAGTCGTTTCTTTTGTTTTATATAAAAGTTTTGTATTCCAAACTGAACTATAATGGGTCTGTATATTTCTTTAATATATATGTTTTGTCAGGTTTTTTACAGTGTAGGAAATGTGGACGAAAATGTACTTTCCAGTTTTTGTAAAAATACATTTCTGCGTAATGTGGATCTTGGGAGAAATGTATGTATTGTGTTCCTCTACAAAACTGATAGTCACGTGTTTATCAACTTTGTACACCAATTTTTGTTAATTAAACTTTTGGCAGTTGCATTTATTTTTCTTCAACGTAAGAAATTGTTTTCTGTTAACTTACTTCGTGGCTACAGTAAAGTGAAGAATCTTGGTAATCACTTCCACTGTTACTAAAGTAACACAGACTTCTGTGCTCATAAAACCTACTTCACTGTCAATTACTTATGTGGGATCTTTTTTGATGAAAGAGTTAGCACAAAGGATCACATATAACGTGTAATAGACTTAAAATAAGACCCAAAACTCGAGTGCTTTCAAATAGTTGACTATTCTTCTTCAGGAAAACAAGGGGTGTGATCTCATATTACAGATGATGTGTGAATTCAACAGAATGACGTTTACAATGCACACCTGTTAAACGAGTAAAATTACTTATAACATATATCACAGAATATACAAGTCCAGTAGAGGTCGTTCTTCATGGTATTCGAACTCGGATAGACAACATTGTTCGCTACTTTCTAATATTTTAAATAAGTCAGAAGCACTGCTCAAGCTTGTAATGTTTCATTTGTATTAACATTTCTCACAAAAACCAACTAAAGAACCTTCTCAGAAAGATTAGAAAAGTTTCAAATTAAAGCATTTATTTAAGCATTTCTCAGAAAAACATTTAAATGAAGCTAACAATATTAATACGATTAAAATTAATTGCATTAAAACACTTCT